CCGTACCCAACCACGACCACACTTACTACGACGTTAGCAACGACCGACCAACAACTTACAACCCAACGAAGTAGCACTAACTACAACTCCCTCCCCCTCCTCTCTCTCTCTCTCTCTCTAGAAAATAGAAGCAATCCCCCTCTCTCTCTCAAACACAAATGTACAACCGGTCTCCCTCTCTCTCTCTCTAGAAAATAAGGCCCACCGCTCTCTCACCACCAAACGAGTGAGCTCACATGCCCAAGTTGGCGCGCTCTCTCTCAGCCTCAACGCAGGTGGTGATTTTTGGTAAGAACTTTGCCTTGGTTGGCCCTACCGGTCAATGCTGGTCCCAAGCCGAGGTAAAATAAAAAGGTTGCGTTAGGTAGGCATTCAACAAAAAAATTTTACAGTAATTTTTTTATGGATCTTGAATTTATGTTATCAGCTCACACTAATGAGTTTTCCACAAGCGGACAAAAGTATAACATGACTCTAAAACTTTTGTTAATTTCCCATTAGAATGTGACTGTTAGCCATTAAAATCACCTAAAAGGATTTGGGTTGATTCCCCATTAGCTCAAAAGTCACTAGTAATAAGACCACTCTCTCTGATATTTACTTGTCATGGTAACAAGTCACATGAAGTTGACTCCCATGTGACTCTCTGCTCTCCCCTACTTCTATTTTTCCATATTTGTTGAGTGAGTTACCTTTTGTTACCCTTATTTATCAAGGTTCTCTGTTTGTTGAGTAAGTTGCCCTTTTGTTACCTTCATTTATAAAGGTGAGTCTGTATATTATGTTCCATTTTGCTACTTCTTCTAAAGCCGGTGACCTTCGTAGCGTTTACATTTAGACATTGTTTTCTTTTTGGCTCTCTCTCTCTAGCACTAGTTCGGGTATATGTACCTTCTTATTTATGACCAAATATTCAGAAAAATAGTAGTGATAATAATATAAACAACCGTATGGGAAAATCATACCCTTGAATATCTGTCTTTCCCCCTTATTTGGTATATTATTTGGGTGAGGTTTGTATACTGCTCAAGTAAGGTGCACCTCAAAACTATGTCGAAAATATAGTTTCGGTGCAGTAAAGCCTTGTGATGGTATGAAAGTTTATTGTTGCTTTTAATTATAAAATTTAAAGTTCTAAAAATGGTGACCATCAAGCAGGTCTATACACATTTTGAAAATCTTGAAAATGGACGGTCCAAATAATATGTTAGAATTAACAATTTTCAGAATTAGAAATCTTATTTTTTGTCCATGTATGTGAATCTCGAGTTTGAGATGATCGATTTAAAGGTTTTCAAGCATAGGAACAACGTTCTTTAGTGGGTTTTTGACGTTCGCCTTACTCGTACAGTATAAGGTTGATGCCTTATATAAACCTTTTCTGTTCATTATTTTGTATTTTCTGAAGGATAAGAGGTAGGCTCAAAAAAACATGGTTGAAATTATCGGATACTTCGAGTCTTGTTGAGGGTATGGTCCTTGATAGAGCAGAATGACCGACTGAGATTTGTAAAGCCGATCCCAAATAGTTAAAAAAAATCCCTCTTGATGACAGCGATGACGAGGATGATTTAGTTTTCTATTTCTAACACTTCCATTTTCTCTGTCATGCGTGGCCAAGTCTATGCAACTGGTATGTACATCTTCATCATGTACCCTTGGTATTGGCTAATTTTCTTAATCGATAAAAATTAACGTACAGGTAAGCTCCATATCGTACATTAGAAATAACATGCGAGGACCACAATGAAAGTACGCAAGCGTAGATTCATGCTATGATTCCATAATAGACACGTTAAAGAGCCCTTCTGTGAAGATTTTAGTCCAATAAAACACGTATATAATGAGGAACAATTAATAGATGTGGCCTCTCTCTCTAAAGTCTAAAGTAGCAACCAACAACCCACACAAGTGCAGTAGATAATCTCTCTCTCTCTCTCTCTCTAAAAATAACTGGTAAGCCCTCTCTTTCACCATGCCCCAATTGTACGAGCCCATCACAGTGGAGGCACATGCACATGAGCAGTGACAATTTTTGTATTTTTATTTTTTATAACATGTTGGAGTAAAGTTAGCCACTCAACTTCACGAGTCCACATGGATCTTCCATATCGAACTCTATATAGGTAACAAAAGATATGCGGATTTATAAGTTAAGGTATGACTTTTGATACAGTAAAATGATGGATCAGGACTCATGTTACGGACACTAAACAGTTAGAAAAATACTAGGATGATGATGAAACATAAGCTGCAAATTTGCTCGCATCTATACACATTCGAAAACAATCCAACACTTTTCCATAAGATAACAAATCTAACACTCAAACCAATGCATACTAAGAAGAAATACCAAATAATACCACCCCAAAAGGACCAATGAAAAATTCATTTCGTAACAGTGCGATCTAACCGAATGGTGATACATTAAACAAGAAAGAGATCGAGGAAGGACTTGGGGGCCATTAGTCTTGTATAGGACCTCACATATTTTTCATTTGCCCTTTGATGGGGGACCACTGAGAAATAGCTTGTGGAGGTTCAAGTCACTACTGAACAATTGTAGGGTAGGCCACAACATTAGAACCAACACATGATCAATTATTGATTCCAAAAGTACAATAGCCAATTTTCTTTTCTTACCATGATATACTTGGGGACCATATCTCACTTGTATGAGATATCACTTATGAGCACGTATATTATGACGTACTTTGGAGGATTTTGTTAATTTGAAATTTTAGTAACCACCTTAGAATCACCTAGTGATTGTTTGCAAAAATTAAAATAAAATAAAAAACGAAATTTGAGTTTTCTAAAACTTAGATCTCACCCTGTAAAAATTGGATGGTTTCTATTCAATCTTGAGATATTATTATTTTTAAATTGTTTCTAGGGTGCAATTATAATTTTTTTTTATTGAGGTTAATTTATGTGATAGAGATGTTATATCCCCAAAATTTGGGGATGAAAATAAATAAAAATTAAAAAAAATTGAGTTACCTACAACTTCGATCTCACCATCTAAAAAATGGACGATTTCTATTCAATCTTGCGACTTTTTTTTTTTTTTTTAAAAAAGTAAAAATTACTCCTAAAGTGCAGTTAGTTTTTTTTTTTTAATTTATTAAGGTTATAATTTATGTGTTAAAGAGGCTATATCCCCGAAAATTGGGATCCTAAAGGTGGACGTTTACCCGAGGGAGTAAATAGACAGTATACTCCCAAGGAAGTAAAATATCTTTTAGCATCACTAATTAAATACTAAACGAGGATGGGGTTGGGGTCATGGTGATATCACCACATGTGCCCAGCTAAAGTTGAGGTTTTCATTCTCACCTAACGTCTTAAAAAATCACTAATGATTTTAAAATCGGGTAAGGGCTCGTCATCCCCCACTGAATTACCCAAAAAAAATTAAATACTAATCTAGGTTTCCATACTTATGTGCACGACCTGGGATCAACACATGTACATGTGTAAAGAGAGTGGTCTGATACCTATAATCATGCCCAAAACGTATGTATGCGTGAGTGACCTTCTGTCTTTGTCCATAGATTTTGTGTCCCTTCTATGTGAAATTGAATGAATCGCAAAATTTAGTTTTAGGAAAAGATTTCTAACTTAGTTACCATGTGATCCTTTATATTAAAGTTAAATGGAGCGTTAGTTAAAATTGTGCTTTAAAGGAACAAGGAATGATAAAGAACAACCCTAGAGCATCTCCATCATCAACTTCTCCTTTGTTGGTGGGTGGTGCCTAAAGTTTCCTTCTTTTTCTATTCTTTTTTGTTTTTTCTTTTTGGTGCATCCTCCCCCCGGTTTAGTTATCCATTTGACACTGGATATGCATCTCATGCATACACGCCAAATTTCGATGGCCGCGCCTAACTTTTCCCCTACGAGGCAAACACAAATTTTTAGTTTGGAAAATGGTTTGATACGGCTGCAGCCCTATCAAAATAAGTAAAGCCTCACTTCATAACTCATAGAAAACTGCAATTGAAGCATTAGAAAATCTTTACATCATCTCGGATTGAAAAAATAAATATGATTTCAAGCTCTAAAAATAGGGCACTTGTAACAAATTATCTAGACCGTTCGTTTCGCCCTAAAAATAAGTGTTCATAGATCTGTATCATTTTTTGAGTTTTGAATTTCACTATCGGTATTGAAAATTGATTTCAGAGCCATCGTAGAGATTTTCGTTGCCAAAAGTACTTTTCGGATGAGGATTTCAGGTGACGCTTTATTTTGTTTATAAAGCCTAGGCCTTATAGAAACCTAATCTTTTTATTTTTATTGGTTTTTTTTAATACAATACATAAATAGAAAAAGTTTATATAAGCTTATCACCTTATATAAATTTTATCCTTCTATGAAACTTGAGTTTTGCTTTGGACAGGACCGGTCAAGACATGGGTTGGCAGTTTGACCAAGCGGCCTATTCTGGTCTTGATAACTATGTTCATGTCTAGTTGGGTTTCTGTGTCTCTAAAAGTTGGGTATCTATGTCTCTAAATACATATGTACATGTTATGTACAAATGTACAAGAAGGACCAGGTCCGAGTAATTCAGTCTAGTTTGTGTTTTGTTGGGT